AGCTCCCGCTACGAGTCTCAAGGGGAGTACTCGAGTAGGTGGAGCGACTGTACCGAAGACCGGCCACGGACATGCTTGGCGAAAGTTCGAAGGGAAAGAATTTAGAGGGAGGTATGCAATGGTAGGTATTGAGCACAGGCTACAGGCTACTGCGATCCGCGCAGATACAGGTCCCGGAGGTACCTGGCTCCGCTGCCAGTTTGAGAAAACTGGTGGATCTTTTCGCCGACTGCGAAGCTATCTGAATATGACTCAAGGGCCCTAACGGCAGCGGGAAATATATACAGTTAACACATGCATGTCATGGCCATGGCTTCCTGTACATGTACAACAGAGGGTGCATTCACATCTGCCCTTTCTCTTTCTCTCAGCTGCCGGCATCCCACAGGCACTTCGAAGCCACGCGAATACCCTGAGACCGAGACCCAGGATGCAACACAGAACGGTTGGGGAGAAGAATGCAGGGTTGTCACTCACACGGGTCTAGGTGCATGTCCGAGCCGGCCTGCGAGGCTTGTTCGCCGATGACTACCTGAAAGCTTGCGGCTCGTGCGGAAGATGGGCAAGGCTTTCGGAGTAGTATCAAGAGTAAGAGGGCCTGGTTTGCAGTAAGGTGCTCTTGGGCCTCCTCTCAAAGATTTCGCCGCATAGCGAGTAAACTGAAAAGAGCTGACAAGTATAGACGATGGATGCCGTCGAAACTTGGGTGCGCCCGCGCGAGCACTTTATCGCAAAGGTAGAGAATTGCAGAGTGCCTGCACGATGATCTTGTAGCGGGGGATGTTCAGATCTTGCTTGACTGAGGCCTGTCAAGCGCGGGCTTGCATGCCAAGTTCGTGGACATGGACTGGGGCCTTGATCTCGTTGCTCAAATCCAAAGTCCAGGCTTTTGCGTCCTCTACGGCATACTCTTTGTCCTTTCGGTAGGATCACAGGTAGGCATGTGTCTGACGCTGCTAAACATGCGTGCCATTGCAGTCACGTGACCTTGGAGTTTCAACTCTGCCAGCTAAATGCACGCATGGCTAGTCCAGCTACAAGTTGCAGAAACCCAGATGGACGACTCCAACTTGAACCGCCCTAGCACTAGCCCGGAGTTTTAACAGCCGTTTTGGTCGGGTTTTGCACCCTATTCGGTCCTGCAGGTAGCCTTCCATGACGTTCTTGATGACTGCCGTGACTTTCGACGGCAGCATCTTCTCGTCATCCTGGCTTCTGGCAAAACGAGGGGGGGAAGGGCGGTGCGGGATGGTGCTGGCCTTGGGCGCCATGATGTAGGTGTTCTCCCAGACATGGACTTGATGCTGCTCCCCCATGGCTGCAAACCTTGGCAAGGCTAGAAGGCCAACCTGCGAGAAAGCACATGTGCAGGCACCACCGAAAAGCGAAGAGGCCGAGAGGTAGCGATTCAATCAAACGTTCACCAAAAACAAGCGAACATGTCTGCAAAGGTGTCTGCATTGGGCCCTCCCTTTCCATTCCTGCTCAGCTCTGAGCTTCTCCGATCCTTGGCAAATTTGTTGAAGACCCCGCCGGGATTTGAAGCCTTCGTAGCCCTGCTGTGAGCCGAGAGTTGCGGACGCCTCACTGGGCCTGGCCGCATTTGTGGCGGGAAAACGAGCAGAAAGAGTCTTCAGAGAGTGCAAAGAAAGTCTCTGGGCGTTTTTTGGTCAGAATAGGCTTGCAGATACACGGGGCTCAGGAGCTCCAGAGTCGGCTTTCAACATCCAGCGCCCCGCCCAGCTCAGGGTGAAATCCTCAACCTGCCATGAACAAGACTGCGCAGATTCGTGGGCTCGCAGTTGAATCAGCTTCTACACTTGATCCCCCTACTCAGGCTCATGCTGGGGCTTTAGACTTGCTGGCACTCCGCAGCTTCAAACGCTTGAGGCTAAGTCCAGTGGCAGACGCACAGCTGCTCTACTGGCCGATTGAGGTTCCGCAGCAAACAGATGCCTTCACGTCGAAGGCACCTACTCGTAATAGCATCCGAACACCATACCTGCAGGCGACTCATGCCGGATTGCACGACATGTCTCTCGCAGCAGCGCTACCTGTGCGCTCACGCGTGCGTGTAGGTTTGTGTGTGAGTGCAGTGCCAAAGTCATGCCACATGCTCAGGTCGGGTCCATTCAAGGGCTCAGGACTGCAGCCTTCTGAGCCCCGTGCCGACTGCGAAAAGCGACTGGTTCTCGAATGTGTATGACGCCCAGTTGTCCGAGTTCACCTAGCACGAAACTGCGCGAAGTCCTGGTGGGATTTCTTGTTTTAGCGCGTGCCGCTAACCTGTTCCCGCTGTCTCAGCTGCCGGCATCCCACAGGCATTTCGAAGCGACGCGAATACCCTGGGAAAGTGCTGGACTCGATTGGAGGAATGGGTGAGACCCAGGATGTCACGGACTACCAAGGCAAGGATGCTGCCCGGAACACTGGACAGTTAGGTACGATCAAATCGTACTGGGAACCTGGCACCGCACTGACTTGTAGTCAGACATGGGGCTTCTGAATGTCAGGGATAGTTGCTCAACGGAAGGGGTCGCTACAGCAAGGATCCCGACTGATCCCTAAAGTCTAGTCTACTTAGAATCCTATTACTTCTTCTCTGAAACCTTCAAGTCTTTCTCAAGAGCCGGTTGCCTGCGAGGCTTGCTCACCGATGACGACCTGCCAAGGCGCTCTTTTCGGATTCCAATGGCGAGGGTGGGGAGGGGTGGCTGGGAATACAAAACTATACATACCTACCCATACATATATAGATGTAAATATGATATGCTCGCTGGCTTCAGATTGTGTTGTCTCCCGTACTGCGGGCCTGCTCTGGTACTGGATTTCGGCTTTTGGTTTAGGAGTTTAGGTTTAGTTTAGTTAAGTATCTTTTCACTGAGCCTGCATTGCTAGAGCCTTACTGTAACATAGATGTGTCGAGAGCTGTGTGCTCAGCCACAGGCACAAATTCCACCCCATGCTTTATGGCGGCCAGGTGCACCATCCATCTTCTTTTAGTGTTTTGGCCTGGCTCCCTCCTCCACTCTCTGGCTGAAACCTTCGCTCGCAACACCGGGTACTTGGACGAAGGGGTCGTCAAGTGTTTTTATCCAGAGAAGCTGCAGTGGGGGGCCTGGGCCTTGCATTTACGACAATTCCACGCCACAGGTCCTCAGCAGTCAAGAATGCAGTATCAGTAGCTTTCGAGAGAGTGAAGGGTGCAGGGAAAGCCACCGAATTCAACAAAAGTGCTTGTGCTAATGCAGACCCGAAGCTCCTCATTCGGCCAAGCCTCCCAAGCCCTACACGAAACGCAAAGAGCCGGAACCAAGCAGATTCAGGCGAGGGTTTAGGGTTAGCGGCTGTTGGGTTTAGTCGCTTACTGAGAGGAAGCCCGGGGCCAATAGAATGATTGCAGCCTCGAGCTGTACCGGTTGCTCTTAGTTGTCGCTCGGTGGGGCAATGCCGCGGTCTTTACGGCAACTTTACGGGGTTACCTGATGTGCAAAGGCGACTTTGGCCGCGCGGCGAAGGTGCCTGCACGATGATCTTGTAGCGGGGGATGTTCAGATCTTGCTTCACCGAGGCCTCACCACGACGAGAAAGAGTCCCGGCTGGGCCTTTCACTCGGAGCCTCGCCTGCAGGCACCGCATGTGAAAAAAATGCGTCGTGCTGCTTGCATGGTGTGTGTGTGTGTGTTGTGGGGGCTCTTCGGGTTCTGCTGAATGAGGCTTGCCCCTTGAGAAACCACCGGAGCCGTGCAGTTGAACCAGCGGGGCACGCGGACATGCATCGACTGCGATGCTCTAAGAGGGGCCTTGATCTCGTTGCTCAAATCCAACGTCCAGGCTTTTGCGTCCTCTACGGCGTACTCCTTGTCCTGTGAACAGTACAACCATCGCTACTGGTTGTGTGAAACGACTTCCAGAAGATTTAGCAGCTGTCAGCACAGGGGTGGTGGGACTCTGAATGACTTGTAAAAACCACCACAGAACGCATACCGACACTTCCCTCCAAGGGCATGCCGGGCATGCGCTGTCTTATCCTGGCAGGGCTCCAGCTCTTGCCTGTTCCACCCTGTTCGGTCCTGCAGGTAGCCTTCCATGACGTTCTTGATGACTGCCGTGACTTTCGACGGCAGCATCTTCTCGTCATCCTGGCTTCTTGCAGAAGGATGTGGGGAGGGCGGTGCGGGATGGTGCTGGCCTTGGGCGCCATGATGTAGGTGTTCTCCCAGACATGGACTTGATGCTGCTCCCCCATGGCTGCGAACCTCGGCAAGACCAGGTTACGTATGTTGATTCAGCTTTTTATTCTGGAAAACACCTGAGTTCTGGGCTTCAGCCCTCCGCAGAGCACTCAAGCGTGAGCAGTTCAGAAGGCAGCCCCTGTGGAAGCCTTGCTGTGAGCCCGGTGACGATGAATGGCTGCTCACATCCCAAAAATAGAAGCCTGTTCGAAACCTTTGTCTCCGGACCTTTGCTTCTTCTTGCCGCTACAATGCATTGGGACAAGTCCAGCGACACCCCCACATCCTGAGATGCTTGCTGGTGACTCAACACCCCAGCATCGATCACACCCTGCAGGTAATCATACGGTCTTGCAAGAACATGTTTGAAAGTGAGGTCCATACCCAGAGCCCGGAAGCTAGAGAGAGCAACATGGACTCCAGAAGCTTTCGTAAACATCTTCGTGCTGAATCCTGTGTTGCATGGCGCAACGAAGCTGACGACAAGGATGTGCGGCCTTTTCTGCATCCACTATGCAACAAAGGGCCAGAGGCTGCTTCTTGCAGCATCTGACGTCCAGCTCAGAGTGAATCGCAACCTTTCACAAGAAAGATTCTCCGCAAGCTCCGAAAGCACTGGTCTTTCCAGAAACTGCATGCCAGCACAGGCTACACGATGCAGGGACACTTGCTGAGGGCTACTTTTTGCGACTCTACCAACAACGCTATTTTCAGTCATTTCCCCGAGGCCTACGCAAACCTTTCACGCGCCTTGCGGCTCGAGGACTATCTTCGCCGTTTCTTCGTGCTTGTCGGCAGGAGTTGGGCTCTCATCTCCTCACTGCAGGGTTAGGGCACGAGATGATGGGCTCGGCTAGACCTGTAAATGAGCCGCAAACAACTGCCTCTTCTTACATGAGCCAGATAGCTGGGCTCGAGTCAAAAAGCCTGCAGGGTCCAAACCAGCTCACGGTGTCCTCGAAGGTAATGAGGTCCTCTTCGTGTCCAAAGATCTTTGTGATGGTTTCTGCCTCAACACGGGGACTCGTCAGAAGCGGCCGCGGTCGAAACAATATCCTCAGTATAGGGTTAGCATGGTGTCCACGTGCTGTGCCGCTTGCTGACATAGGGTTGCAACGCAAAAGTTCACTTTGTCGAGATCAGCCCAGAGCATCCGACTTTCCAAGCCAAACAAGCCACTACAGTACGAGTACCACAGCAAAAGCAACGACAAGCTGTGCACATCTTGGGTGCAATTCTCCAAAACAAACCTTGGAAGAGAAATCGAACCCTTTTGCAACTGGCTTGCAACGTCACGCCAGGACAGCTTACTCGCCGGGCTGCAACCGCTGCAAAGGAAAGGTTGAGACACAAGACAGCTTGACTGATCGAGATGTGATTTGGAAATTGGATGTTTCGAAGCGAATGTTTCGAAGCCGGCAGCGCATCCACAGACACTGTCAGTGTACTCATGACAGTGCAAGTAGACGGGCAGCAACATCATGCGAAATACTGGTGTAGACTGTGACAAACTGGAAAACGCGAAAGTCATCATCATGAATGCTTTGCAGCTGTGGAAAGTACAACCCCAAACCCTAAACCCGAGGTCCGGGTAAGCATTGCGTTCTTTGGCGTGGCAGTGTAGCACCTGTGCAGTACATCATGTGCAGAGCTCGACCAAAAACATGCCTCAAACATAGTGCGCAAATCTGTATCGGCATGCGTAAAATCATAGATACATAACATAAACGGCTAAATACACAATAGACCCTTGCGGATAAATAGTTCAAGCAAAAAACATTATTACTATCATATATGTACGCATCCATCCATCCATCCATCCTGCCATCCAGCCTAGCCAGCCAGCCAAACAAGCCTACTATCAAACACCCATACACGCATATTTGCACAAACAAACAAACATACCTACGTACCTGCATGCACGCATGGGTGGTTGTCAAAATTATGGTCCCTTTTTGGGCCCGAATTATCATACGGCACCTACATTTAGGGTACTCAAAAAGGTGCCATAATTTGGACAACTACCCACATAGACACGCACAAGAGTATGCGCAGAGAGACAAAGAGTGTGTGTGAATACGCGTACGAGGTTTTTCTCGTACCATTCAGCTTTGTACGTCACAATAAACTTTTAGAGCGCCAGGCCGGACTTTGCTGAACGCTGCGGTTGGCCAGAGGCAGGACCTGGTCACAACGAACGAGTTGAAATGCCCCTAATTTTGATCAGCCCTGTGCGTGCACAAACAAGCGGAAACAGTGAACTGCTCATCACGGGACCATGCTGCAATATGCTGCATGCCCTTGCCGTCATGACTGTGACAAGCTCTTCATGCTTTCCCTGAGCATGCGGGAGTGTCATTTCAAGTACGCAAGCCGTTATTGCAAATCAAAAATACGAAACCTTCTCCATGAAGGCTTCAAACTCTGCACGGCTCAGCCTCGGCACACGAGTTGTTGCAGTCGGTCAGCGCCCGGCATGAGCAAACTATCGGGAATTAAAGCGGGGGAGCTGGATGCTCGTGCCCAGCTTGTTTTGTCGGAGGTCTGACACTTCAGATTCCAAAGATGCACCCGCTTGCTGCTCGAATACTCCAAAATTGCGCCTCAACCCGTTCATGAATCAGACTTGGCCCCCACAGGGGCTGGTTTGTGTAACAGCTTATTACGAGGCGAGGTGCATTCCATCGCCGTTGATGTCGTGCCGCCGGAAAAGTTCGAGGAATCGGTCCTGCGCACCAGAAAACCACCAGAGGAGCTCAGACCCTGAGTCCTCTTTCAGCTTCCAGCTTCCGAGTGTCGAGCCGGAGTCCGAAGCAAAACAAGGCCTTCAACCTCAAGACAAAGTGAAATCCAGGTGCCTCGAGGAGATCGGTGTAAACCGTCCTCGCATGACAAGAAGCATCTCTAAGGCTTAACCGCTTCGTGCTCTCGGGCGCGAGACTCTCCGGCTTCATTGATTTCGGCATCTCTGTTGCTGTCTGTGTGCTTTCTTCAGCACAGCACTGGGGACTTTGGGACTGAGTGACAGAGTACGTCGAACCTTGTCACAAGCACCGGCTGCCTCAAGCCAGAAACCAACCCATAGCCGAAGGGCTAGGGTTGACACTTCCAACCGGCGTGTCCAACCCTTAGGGCCCGGCAAGACCAACGGGGAAAAACGTTTCTGAGCTACTAATGACGTGCACCGGCCTCGAAGTGTCATGATTCGTCGTATTGCGACCAATACTGTCACGTTGATACCAGTTGCCCGGCTGTATGACAGCTGCTCTTGTGGAAAAGCATGACTGCTGCTGACTGTTGCTCTCATCACTTCAGTGGCCCCCCACATCCGTCGGACAGAGGATCACGTGCACATCGGTGGCAAAACAACAAGACAAGGCGTTCACATGGTCTCTCTCTGTCTCTGTCTCTCTCTCTCTCTCTCTCTCTCTCTCTCTCTCTCTCTCTCTCCTTCCCCCCTGCAGACAACGATGATGCAAACACTTGCACTACTGTATGCAAACCTTGTCAATTCACACGATCTGGGAGCCCGGGCAAGACGCCAGCCGAGAATTCGCTGAAAGACAAAACACCGTCCCCGTTGATGTCCAGCCTGGTGGAGTCACGGCAAACAGTTTCAGCACTTCGCGTTAATCTCGGTGCCCTGAAACCGTCAAGTATGCAGTAATGTAGTAAACCTAACTGCACAAGCCGAGGGACGTCTGGAATGCCCGGTTCTGAAGGGTCCGGTCCTCACATCGACTCGCTTCTTCGCGCCTTCCCTCCTCTCAGGCAACACGCGCGGGTATTCGGCATACGTCCTTGAGGCCCATCTGCGAAAACAGGCGTGAGAGCTCCTGCCGAGTCACTGTAACTTGAAACTCCTGCAGTTGGGCGGTTATTCTTGTTGCTCCCGTTAAGCAGGATTTACACAAAATCACACCTGCCTCCATGGAAATGCTGCCATCGCTGTTCTCGTCGATCTTCTCAAACACCTTGTACGCTAAGCCAAAGGTTGGTACTCAAGGGGGGGGGGTTCCACCGTGTGGCCAGGCCTTTGCGATGCGCTCTGCGCGTTCAATCGGCAGCTTGGAGGCCACTTCCATGATCACAGCCTTGGGAATGATATCACACTGCCTCGTGGCTGTTCACAGAAAACAACATCTTCCGAGAAGACGAACACTGCCGCAGACTTTTTCTCAAAGCGATCGGAAGGGCAGCGGTGCCGACCTTAGGCACAGCTACAAACTTCAAACACGGCAATTATACTGGCACGACCGCTGCGAAGAGTGCTTGCTAACCACTTCGCCACTTTGCGCTGGCCCGCCAAACGTGGCAAGTTGAGCGGCAGTGAGCTCAAAGGTGCTAAGACATGTGCGGAGCAGTCTTTTGAAGCAACTCTTTGTTGTGGCCAGAAACGAGAACGTGAACCTCACAAAACCGCGCTTTCGAGCCAGGCGTCGTCACGGCCGTGTTCGGCCCGGTGCATTTACTGCCAAGGCCACAGCCGCAGCGAGAAGATGCAGTGCGGAAAGCCTCCATTTAAAGCCCTTGCTAGATTCTTACTTGAAAGGTGCCACCGCTTCGAGGTATTGGCTGTTGAGGGTTTGGGCTAGGATACCCCAGTCCTACGTCCAAAAGGAGGCAGCTACCGGATTCCACCTTGTGGGTGCAGCTGCAGTCTGCGGCGTTCGGCACAACTTTCCTAGCGTTGATGATGCCTGCGATCAGTCACTGATCCGTGGTACGGCTGCCTGCGTTTGCTTCTCGCCCCGCGCGTCTTGGCGGTTTTTTTCCCACCCACCCAGCTGCCAAAGTCGCTGCGCAGTGAACTGTTCTGTGGCTACAACTGTCTGGATTGGCTTCAGTTGTGATGCACAGGGTTACCAAGTCGGGCTTCGAGGACTTGATGCGCTTCGGCATTTAATCCATGTAATCGGCTTCGGGTTAACACTGGCGGTTCTTGTGATTTTGCGCTTGGGCTCTCAGGGTTTCAACGCTTACGTTTCTGACCATCGCGGGTCCAGGCTTCATGGCTGAGAATTTTTCGGGTTTACCGTCATTCGGATTCTGGTTGAGTGTTGGTTTTGGGATAGAGTGTGTCAGTGCTTGCCGTGGATTCTGCCAAGCACCTGACATTTCGGGTTGACGCTCTCACGAAGCGAGTGCTGGCTGTTGTGAAAGTCTAGGCTAGGGTGTTCTTGCGGTTGTTTGGTTTCGGGCCTCTGATACTGTTTTGCAGGGCGAAGGCAGGGTGTAGGCTGCGTGGCCAAGAACGAGGGTTTTCGGCGGTTCTTCGGATTTTGGTTGAGCTTTGATAGCGGTGGTAGGGGTCTTGAGTTGTGGAGTTTTGGCCTTCTGGGCAGGGTATACGGTATACGTAGGTTTGAGGCTTCTGAGATTAGAGTTGTAGGGTTTGCAAGTTACGGTTTGCGGTTATCTGATTCTGTTTGTCGAATTTGTGCCTTTATAGTCTATAGTACTTCAGAGTTTGGGCGCTTCATGGTGGGTTTTGAAGACGACAGAAGGATATGTGCACTCGGCTGGATGGACGCATATTTGCAGGCATTCGTTTGTTCTTCAAAAACAAATCCATGCATGTATTCGCCTCAGCAGCCAATCCACGGACATCTCGAAGTCGTTGGTGACTCCCAGTCGCCTGCAAGATGCAAAATTGTGTGCAAGATGAATGGTTTTGATGGTTTAACAAGTTCGGAGCCAGCTGCCGTCACAGCTTTCTGCATGGCTGCTGCTTTTCCGTGACATCACAGTCTGTTTGTTTGCCACGCCCACATTCTGGGAGAGATGGCAAGGGGATCAACAGCATTATGCAAGCACATGTGTCTTATATAGCTGCATAGTCAATACCAGGTCCTTGTCTGAGAGAATGAGTGATTACAACTACACACGTGATCGAATGCATGGGCACAAGCTGCAACGAAGATGCGCCTCAGCACCTCATCACCCGAACGGACCAAGGCTAAACCTGCCATCTTGCGGTGATTTTCGGAGCGGCCTGCTCGTTCTGGGCTTGAATGACTACCGTTACTCCTCTTAATCATAACGGCATAACGATTACTACTGTCAAGCTTGTGATAGCTGTTGTGAGCACCGCCAATTTTGCTTCTTTGCTTCTGCATCTCGCTGCTACCGCTCTTCTTCTGATTGCTCCTACTCGGCCAAAAAACTTCAGCCGGAACTGCAACAGTCATTCTTCACATCAACATTGGAGACGGAAACTCCCCTAAAGGCTCTAGCCTCACATCTTCTGACTCCCCCGCCAGTTACCAGCTTACGCACTCGACCTGTCAAAGACACTGCAGAGAAATGAGCTTCCGAACCGTCGTGTGCAGGGCACAGCTCTGAAAGAGAGGGAACCGCACAAGCCCACTCCCTCGACGTTGGACGAATAAAACTTCAGCCGTTGCCTCCCATGCGCGGAGCATCGGCGGCGCTTCTGGCCAAATCCTAGGCAGAAGCAGCAGGACATGCTTCGGACCCCAAGACTTTCGCGCATTGCTTCGGTCTCAGTGGTGGGCTAAGCATCGACGGGTGGCTTGCCGGGAAGAACTGGTTGCAAGATAGTGTCCAATCCCCGCAGCTCAGCCACGCAAAGGGCTTCGATGGCATAGCCTTCGTGATGTGGCAGCTTTTTTGGGCAGTGTGCGGGAATTCGGAGACTCATTCGCGCTACATCTCCCGATCTGAGACTCGCACGTATTGGTGACAGACCATGCAGCAACTCCATGAACTGGCCGTTCACGAACGAATCCAGAACACGGCTCGCAAGACGCTCAGCAAACAACCGCAATCGCAATCACAGGCTTTTGCGGGAGATTGATGACTTGTATTGCTGTCGTGCTTAGCCATGGCCTCACAGAGCTTATTCCGCGCCTACAGTTTGCCTTGTCCTGAATTACGATCAATGACCGGAGCGCAATCAAAGGTGGCCTGATTGGCGCTGTGACCAACCTAGGCTGTGTTGACAAACTCGAATCCGAACACATGCAGTCGGCAGCAACTGCTTGCTCACTACTCATCGAAGCTTGAATAAGATTGGGAATGAACTTCTTCTTTGGCAACTGCAGGAGCTTCATGTCACAACGATGGAATTGCCACAAGCTCCGCATAGCTACGCCGAGGAGACAGCTCTGTTCCTGAAAGTTTTCTATCCAGTTTCTGTGTGGTCTTTCAGTCTGTGTTCCGACTCCGAAAGCCAGTGCAAATGAGCCACCTGTCCCGCTGGATCGATGACGCCTGCGGGGAAGGTGAAGACGACAAGGATCCCCAAACTATTGTTGTAAGTGCTTTCACACGTAGCGGCTGTATCAACATCCAAAACGGCAAGGCTTTCCCCTGCCCGGCCTGTCAGCATATGCACGATCATCACCTTGATCATGTGAACGTTCTTGCAACATCAAAGGTGCTGAGGTCCAAAAACTGGGCGTTTCTCGTTAATGTTTACAGGGGGCAGCTGCGAGTTGATGCGCTTGGTAGGCTTAGTATTCCTTGATACTGGTGGCCATATGCTGCAATCCTCTGAACTGAGCTGTACCTGCTGCGCTAGGTCTTGACGCTTCGATTCAGTCTGCCACTATCCTGCTGCGTTCCCTGATGTTGCTCTCTGCGAGGCAAGGGACTGGGCCACCCAGTGCCACGGCCCGCTCTGCCGTGGACGCTGCAGCCCCCACAGCCAGGCCCAGGGTGGACGCCGCCGTCTTTGTTAGGTGAATACGAAATGACAGGGGATGTGGTGAGCTTTTCACAGTGATATCGAAGACTTTGCAAAAGATCCTCGAAAGCAACTCAGCTCTGCAAAGCCGATTCATTCGCAACAGTTTCACATATCCTGCGATGGAATCCCCGCACGAAAACCAAGGCCAGGCTTCGTGCACCCTCCAAACCATGCATCAGCAATCAACTATGTCGGCCAAGAACCGCCACAAGGGCGAACGACAGGAGCACTGCCTCGCGCCTTGTCATCGGGACTCAGCACCATCCGTACTGGCAGTTACATGATGTTACATGGCTGAGATGTCCTACTTGGACTTGCTAAGAATGGGTCATGAGCCCGCTGGAAACACGCTCATAGCATCAGTCTTTCATGGTACTTGCTGATACATAGCAGATATTGACTGCATCCCACGAATCAGCCTGTTAGTGGCGCCATGAGCTTGGATTAAGCCAGCAGAGAATTCAGTCTCGGTCTATCCCCCGCTTCCGCGCCTTGCATGGAGTCCGCAAATTTCGTGGACAATGGCCGCGAAAAGCACGGCCGAAAGAGCATCCAAAGGGAGCTCCGTTACGGCCTCGCAATGTTTGGACTTCACAAGTAAGCGTTCTTGGAGGTTCATGGCTAAAAACAAGTGGGGGCAGAAGTCCCCTAATATGGGAGAATGGCTATAGTTACCCTACCTATGACTCCACTTGTAGCACCCCATGAACCTCCAAGTTGTTCCTTTTTAGCAAGAGACCTCTGGACATCGAGCACGGGCCCAGCCCTTGTTAGGGGCCCCCACCTTGGAGAGCAGGTACACACCACCGCCGTACAACCGAGCAAGGCGCTCGCGCTTGACTATTGCCCTCTCCTGGATGAGTAGTGAAGTGAACTTCTGGAATATTCGAGAAAACGCTTCGAGCGAAACTAGTCTGACTATGGATGTGGGTTTGCCTGCGCAGTGCTGGAAATTGTTTGATGAACCTGACCCCATCTCTCTCTCTCTCTCTCTCTCTCTCTCGCTCTCTCTCTCTCTCTCTCTCTCTCTCTCTCTTTTCTTGATTTGTCCTGGCAGGGCTTTCGGAAAAATGTGGGCCTTCGCCGGCTCAGCATCGCCAGCAATGCCAGAACAAGCAGCGGTGGAATGATGATAGCTGGTTGGACGTATTCTGACCAGCGCAAACCCTAAAGGCCCTAAGCTCCAAAGCTGAAGCCAGTAACAAGAAAAGCCTAAAAGCAAAGCTTTCCTTGGCAAAGCGATCAACAGCCCTCGCCATCGCAAGGAATGCCATGGCGATGACGCCGAAAGACCTCACTTGCCCTCTCACGATTGTGTCGTGTGGGGGCCTTCAGGCTCAATTAGGATGGTGTTTGGGGGCATGGTACGGATTGCTGATGTAGATATCCAGGCATGGTGAGCAGAAAACATGTCCAGGTTTCCAGGGTATGTAACCGTAAGCTGGAGGCAGTGCACCTTCAAGAGCTGGGCCTGGGAATCCTGAATATGACTCCTGTTGAAGGTACAGCACCCTGAGCGTTGAAACCCCACCTGTGAGCCCGCCGGGACACAGCAAGCAAATCCTCGCTGCCACAGATCTGGCGGTTGGAAGGCCGCCTCCATCCAGCCTCGGATCTCTGGCTCTGGTGATGCAGGGCCACCGATATAAACATACTTATTGTTATATGCGAGCCTCGACCCCACACAATGCAGGGGCACCTCTGAGACTCCCAACGAACATGCGCAGCGCACTCGGAAGGAAGCACGAACTCGAATCGCACATGACGGGATCCCGCCCAGAATATGTGCTGGACTCCGACATGTGCACTTGACTATGGCGGAAGCATGCGGGAGCGGGATTTCGAGAGGCAGGCACAAAATGTCGTGGCCCGGAAACACCGGCATTTTGGCGGGAGCTCACCCCGAGTGCCGACTTTGGGAGCCGGATGGTGTGAGCCGCGATCCATAAACTTCGGAAGTGCCAAGGAACGCGGTTGTGGCACGCTGTGCATGATATGGACACCAACAACAGCGTTTCACGCTCAACCTAAGAACCACTAAGAACCCGGTCTTGATACTACCGGGGAACAAATCAAGAAGCAGACAAACAGACACGTGAACGTGCATGTCTACATCCCTATCGTTCTCTCTATATCCCTATCGATCACTCTATCTATCCATGTATCCATCCATCCAGCCATCTGTCCATCGATCTATCCATCTATCTTTCTATTTATCTACCTAGCTAGCTACCTATCTATCTATCTATCTATCTATGCTGTGTGTGTATATACGCATCATGTACACATGTATATGTCGTGCGAAAGTGCCTTTGCTGCAATAGCAGTGTGAGACATCAATCCAACGGAATCTTCATACTTGGTTGAAAATGTGAGTGATTCCAAAGAAGGTACCCGCTGTTGACGGTTGTCTGTTGGAATCTCGTACCAAAGGCATAATAGCACACAACCTCTTCATCCCATGCCGTGCGAGTCTGAAACCCGCATAAGCAACCCAAGAGTTTGCCTTTTGTGCTTCATTCTTCTACAACAATCCTCCGAGCGTACTATGCAGCGACAGAGTCGTTGGATTCGACATGATTCGACTACAGAATGCAGCGGCACCACGAGAAGGACGGTATCCAACTCATCCGCGCGACTTGCCAAAGTGCACACCAAAGACCAGCGCCAACCCGGCAGTGGCCACCAAACGGAAAACCTTTGGGGCCCAGGCTGAGCTTGGCCCCGGCAACTCAGGGTAAGTAGTTGAATTATGATTCTGCCGGCACAGCCCTCCCTAAGTGCCTGCACTGCGCATGAAACCCTTCGCAAAACCGGCCTTGAACCAGAAACCTCCAAATCCTATCCCATAGTGCACAGACAGGCAAGGCGCGTTCGTCATGCGATCGCGCATGATCTGGATGCTTGATCTCTGAGTAAGCAAGAAGAAGGCTCCTCAGCTCTTGTCGCCAACATGCCTCGGACCTACTGAACCTACCACCTCCACATCAGCAGGCTCTGTAGAATGCTCAATGCTAGTTCTTCTCCCTTCGTCCACACTTCCGGATACAGCACCATGGAATGCAACCCGCGGCTGCCTGCCAGTAAGCAGCATAGAATACCAATGAGATCATTGGATCCTATCCGTCGCATGATGTCCGAGAAATCTTTCTTTCGGCTCCTCTGGCGCTCTTTGCAAGAAGCAACCCTGGTGCAGATCCATCCGTAATTGCATATGCAACCGGGCGGCTGACAGACGCCCGACGTTTCACGAAACTGCTGCCTGAAAGTACTCAGCACTGTTTTGAACCACGTCAGCATGAGCAAATACTCTTCAAGTGGGACAAAGCTCTTTCGGCCCGAGCCAATGAAACTCTGGAAGTGGCCACATCTTCTTGAGTATGCACTCAGCCGGGTTGCTGCGGGGAATCTCCATGTCGAGTGTGTCGTCCTGACAGCACTTGCCTGAGCAAGGGCAAAGTGCACTGGATTCCAGGCAGCATAACTCCATATCTCTGCCAAGAAGCAGCGCCAGGCAGCCGCACAGACCTCGATGCGCTGCTTGTCCTCTTTCGGAGGGACTCGTAGGTTCCTTCAACGTTTCTTCTTTGCTCTTCCGGGAATTCCTGAAGGAGGCAGTGGCAGAGTCGAACAAAACATGTCTGTTGCCCGGATCCTGTACCACTTGTGGCAGATTTTCGTAGTCGATGGAGACGAGATCAATGACGAACTCCGCCGGATTCACACCTCTATAGACGCACATAGTGTGACATGGTTGTTGCTTTTTATGGTCATACCGAACGCCTGGAACACCCGGCCAGCCCAAACGGCACTCGGTAGTCTGCATCCCCATGCGACTGAAAACATCTTGCCTCCTCGCGGTGTTTTCGGCAACAAAAGCCTTTCTTCGACCAAAAAGAGACGGCGCCTTGATCAGCGCAGCTGTAGCCGAGGCCACCTGCGGATGCAAGTAAACGGAAGGTGTGTACCGGAACTGAGCCTGCGCAGTTTGGCAATACGGAACATGCAGAAATGCGGTGGTCAAGGAGTCAGGGCCAGAAACCTTCCGTGAGTCACCAGCAAGACTGCGAAGCTGACCCACCCAAGAATCCAACATCAAGGATACGCAACTGCAGAGACTTGAACTTGTGGCCCTTCACATGTGTGAATGGCTGCCAAGGAGCAGAAGTGCTCGGACATGTCATCCGCAGAGCCACAGAACACGACGTGCCCGCCTGCAGAATTTCGGTGCTTCGGGTAGGGGCTTCAGAGGCCGATGTGCCAGAGACATGGAAACAGTGGTGTCAGCCGCTCGAAGAAAACTGGTGACTGAATCTTACAGTCAGCATAGCCGCCCTATCTGAGCAGTCGAGTATCGACATGTCGGTACAGTGTTTAGCACGCAGCAGGAACCACGACTGGAACAAGGCAGGTGGGCTTCGAACAACAACCACAGATTGAAGAACATATTAGGACGACATTGTTGGAGAAAGGGCCTCTTTGGAGCTGACAGGCCTTGCAAGCGTGGGAGTCTTCTCCAGCTCAACATGTGTCACAGCTGCCCAAGCATACGCCGGCAGCATTGTATCAGAAAGACATAGTTGCTGTGGCAGTTCAGCAAGCTTCAAAACTGGAACATGTAAACAGTACGACTAAGTACGACCTTTTTAATCTTCGAGGTTGACGACCTGGGTTGCTTCACAGTGTTTGGCTGGCACACAGAGCTCACCTGCTTTGGCAAACCATTTCAACGGCCTGGTGCCAGGACCAGGGTATCGTCTAGGCCTTAGTCCGTCGGGGTCGCTCGTCTCTCAGCCGACCCAAGAGATCCGCCAAATCTAGATTCCCATGGAACAAGGCCCGCACAACGAAAAATTGCCGCTCTTGGCTGGTGAAGTGAAGCCACGCACGCACAATTCCTGTCGCAACAGCACTGCGTTACGTTGTCGGCGAAAATCATGCTCAAGATCCCACACAACCACAGAAAACGATTTCAAAAAACGGCGGTGCATCGTTTCCACAGTGTGCGGCGCATAAATTTACATGTAAAGCACTTAAAGATTGATTGGAACTCTCCGCAAGCTCGATCTGGTGTGCTGGTCACGTCACATAGCGCGGTGCTTTCAAAAAGAAGCAAGTGGGCAGTCCTGCCAAGCGCCAGCTCCTTCAGGAGTTCCACAACTCTTTGTGCCTGCAAGTTGCTAGCGGCTAGCTTTCGTTGTGGCTACGGCTATGTAAAAGTCGGTCGCCACCGACTCGCGGTACATCCATTGCAAACCCGGCCCGCAGCTTTCCAGCGTGTGTTTACGCCAGTTTGGATTTCGGGTTTTGCGCGCTCTTCCGTGTCTCGTCCTTCCAAAAGGACGACCGACCCCAGCCGTCGCGGACGGCAAATCCAAAGTTCCGGACTGTCTACTCCTATCAGGCGTAGTTATGCGTAGTTGCATATGCATAGGGACGTCTATCATAAAACGAACACAGGGACACCGGCTCATGAACATGGCTCTTCAGCATTCTGCGCCCTACCGGTGCCTGGAAGGCATCAAGGCCCGTGGTTGGCTCGTCCACGAGCAGCGCGCGACTGCGCGCCCCTGGCAGCTCGCCTGACATCTCCGGCTCGAGAGCAGGCTTTGCTAGCCAAATACAGACACAGGGTATTGGGGTATCTTCTACCATGGTTGTACTAAGGAACCCGCGCATCATACTGTATAAAAGCCTAAAGCTATTATGCCATGGGTCCCAGCGTGCCTGCTAGGGCGCAAGCCACGGCCAGCCGTCGCTGCTCGCCTTTGGTGGTGGAGCTGACGCGCCTGAGCCGAGACGAAACTGCCGCCCAGCTGATTCGCGAGGAGTCACGGAAGCCATTTATTTTGCAAATTCGTCTCTTTTTAGTGCTAAAGCCGGAGTCCCCTTCGACGGAAATGTGGCCTCCGCCCATGCCGCCTCGTATTGATAAGCAAAGTTGGGCCTCAAACCAAAATCCTTGAGAGGAAGCTGTCGTGACTTCACTCCCACATTTGCAGCTACTCCTTTGCCTAACCTTCCGAACGGCACAAATGCTGTGTCAAACACGCCAGCTCCAGCTGCCGCCATGTGCCCATCGGCCGCACAGATAAACTTGTGCCTTGATCAGCCGAGTGACCGCGAGGCTGCGCCCGCGAGGCCCACGCGCTGAAGCAAGGCTTCTGCCTCACATTCATGCCCATCAAGTTCGGATTGTGCTTTCGTTGTATGCTTTCTTGGACATAAGTAGGGGCGGTGCTTGCGAAGGTCCGAAAGCATTCACGCACAACTAGAAGCTGTGCCCACCGAGGACTCATCCAACTGAGCCTAGCCCAGGGATTCATCATGCCAACTTGGTGCAGCCAATGAGAGCCCCGATTGAAGGCCTGTCCCGAAGCATATACAATCAGCCGGTCCTCCTCCACAGCCTCCTTTGCAAGGCGGCCACTCAGCGTTGCCGCGAATTGAAGCGTCTCCTGCCACGTCTGTTTGATGATTGGCCAATACGGCTACGGGTCTGGGGCCAGCCAAATCCAACCATACTGCCCCAAAAACGTGCAAGTCAGCAATGCCAAGCTCACGCAAACTCAAGCAGAGCAACGGCAGTTCTCTTGCATATTCGGATGCCGCAAACACATGATATGTTGAAGCCAAGACGCTCCCACCATAAGCTCTGGGAAAAAAGGATCGTCCTGCCACTGTTGGCTGTTGCTTGTGGCACGGCATAGGTGATGAGGCTTGACGAGAAGATCCATGTTGTGCCCCGAAGGCGTGCACCGGTGGGGTGTGCCTATTCGTTCTGAGAAATAGACATTCTGGTCATCTCTGGGCAATAAACAGTAGCACATTCTACAGCGGGCATCACCACTACCACCATCATCATCGTCATCCTCACCATCCGCAGTTAACACATCGTCGTCGTTGACTGGTCATACCCGTACTTTAACCTCACCCATCTTAATCACCAATACAATAGTCAACATCAACAGCCATGTTGTCGTCAAAGCACTCTTGCGGGCAACTGTGGGTGAGCCCCTGTCCTGAGCAAGCAGCGCAGCAGTTCCTGCCAAGAGGCATCTAAGGAAGATGCAAGGTGCTGGAGGACACTTCCGGTGCTTCGGGTTGTTTGCGGGCACATCACAAAGAGTCGGCCCCCAAAACCCCATGGACATCCTCGCAGCCGCCGAGTCCTTTGGCCACGCTGATTGTTCCAGTAGGGCTCCAAACATGCCCTCGGCAATCACGGGTTTGCAGAGAAATCTGGCATTTCAGACGCATGCTCGTCGGCACGGCAATGGTCGACAGCAGCGTCACGGCGAGTATATTGCAGCTGCAGCAGCAGCAGCCCACCACTACAACACCACCACCAGCAGTCCAGTTCATCTTCATCCAGCAAAGCCTCCACTGGACAAGCCAGGCCTCTCATGCGAAGAGCAACAGCAGCAGCAGCAGCAGCGGTAGCGACAGCAGGAATTTTAGTGATGGGGGACTGCTGGTGGTGGCGGTGGGAGCAGCAGCAGCTGCAGCTTCATTCAGCAGTCACCAGTGGAATTCGGAGTAGTTGTTGTTGGCTGTCTGCACTCGTGTGACAGCGAGTGGGGAGGGAGAGCAAGCCATTCTTTGCAGCTCTTCTTAGTACAAACATCCATTGCCAGCAGAATCATGCTCATCACCCTCGCGCGCCAAGTATGGATTTCGCGCCTGACTACAAAAAGCTCCTCTAGTTGACGGCTTCTCGCCATGTGGCCTGTCCGCTGGAGAGGCTCATCCAGGACATCGGCCAGGGCGGAAAGGAAGGTGGACTTGCCTTCCATCCCGGTGGGTTTTCTGGGGTTTGAAGGCCTGCACCGGAGCAGGATGCTTTGGCTTTGCTTCATTCGACGTTTGTAGGCTGCGCGAGCATGAGGGCTCTGGTTCAAAGCAGGAGTGCAAAGCAAATGCCGGGGGCAGTGCATGCCATTCTGATCTTCTTGAACATACGAGAACATAGACGGGTGAGCATTTTGTAGGCCTGACAGCATCACACACGTATTCTTGTTTACCTTACCGGCCTTAGCATTCGGAGACTCCAACTGCGAGCCGAGCCGGGCCTGCGCCAGAAGGCCCGAGCACTCCGAGCAAGCGTCCAGCTTTCGCCACCCTTGGCTTGGCTTGGCTTTGCGGCTTTGCAGTCTTTCACGGTTCGTTGGTCCGAAATGACCCTAAGAGTCCCGCTTAAACCATGCATTGACGACACGACTACTCAGCATGCCTGCTTAGTACCTTTTGCGGGTTCAGCATCAACAACCTGGACTTGAAGCAGCCGTTTTCAATGTGGTGCATATTGGAATCTGGGAGTCTGGACAAAACAGTCTATGCTCAAAAGTGGCCAAGTGGCCCCAAAGGGATGATGGATCAACGCGCGACCCTTTGAAGACGCCAGGAACAGGAAGGAGCAGAAATCAGTATGAATCACGAAACGCTGCAAAGAGCTGTGCGTGAACCAAGCTCTAACCAGTGCGGCAACTGGCGGTGTCTTGGCAACAGTGCAGCAGCACCGGAGGCAGCACCAGAAAGTTCGAATTCGGCTACTGGCATTCCGCAGGCTCCTGCAGGCTTGCTTTGCCACCTGCCAAGAGCCAGCAGCCAGCAAATCTGTACTGTATAGCAAAGACTTCGCAGAGTGCTACTTTCAACTTGAAGCCTGTCCCTCTAGAAGCTGAGTAGAACCGCTGCGCACTGCTGCGAAGCCATGGGCATGCACGACATCCACGTCATGTGTGTCATGAGACGGGTCTCACAACTCCTCATCTGCAGGCATCTGGTCCAACAGCATTCCATCTTGCAGAAATGTGCTTCCACGAAAATGGCGGTGCTTCTTATGTTGAGTGGCGAGGTCAGGCATCTCAGCCAGAGTTGCCACAGGTCGACACTGTGAGTACCAAATGCTTTCTTCAATGCAAGCATAGCCATCCTCACAACAGGTTGGCCCATCCCAGTCCTGACCGCCGCACGCTGCCCAAGCCCCGGAGCAAGCTTTTGGCAACGTTGTGGACAGGACGGGTGTTGTGGTAGCCGGGCTGGTAGCTGATGTGGCAGTTCTTGTGGTTGACATCCCGGGTGTTGATGTTGGCGAAGTGCCATCGCCCGGACCGACTGAGATGTCTGCACAATTCCAGAACTCCTCGCCGAACGACCCGCCAGTTTGGCAGCAGCTGTTTGCGCAGTTTGCCCAGGGTTCCAGTACCTGTGGCTGCCATGCCGCGGCATCCCATCCGAGAGCAGCAATTCCTCGATAGTAGTCGAAGTAGTCACCATCGTAGTAGCAGCTGTTCCCTGAGGACCAATACCACTGCAACGTGCACCTGGAGCACAGCAAGCCATCTGGAATCTTGAACCTCATGCGGTGCACCTCTGCTGCGGATGGATATTTTGGAGCCATGGAGTCATTAAAGCCTCGCCCAGCAACTGGTGTGTGTGAACCAGCAGGTGGCAAGTACCATCTTTCCGGATGCTTCGAGTCCAAAGGCTGGCAGTCTCCCCGAGGATCGTTGACCACGCAGTCAGCCAACGGCGGAGCGCGCTGCAACAACCATTGGTCCAAGCACGCCTGGCCCTCGGCCACTGAGGTCAGGGACCCTGCATCCAAAGGCTTGTCACAAATGCGGAATTCGTAGTGTCCTTCATGATGTGTACTAACTGCCACCTGGAACTCCACCACTTCGCCTGGCTCATACGTTGCCGTCACAGCTCCAGCTTTGAGGTAAGTCTCATCTTCAAGTCTCACAGGGTTGCTTTGCCCCTGCACCGGATCTCCACAGAGGCCATGGGAGCCTGGAGCCAAGCGGGTCGGCCACACGCCCTGTCCGCGCGCCTTGACATTGTCAGGACCACCAGACTGTAGGCAATGCGGGCAGTCCTCCCGGCCCTGCAAGTTTGCAAGCAAGTTCCGGGAAGGAGGCAGTGCTAGGTAGGAGTGGCTCAGGACCATCACCGGCACACATGCCAGGAGAAGCAACGACATTGCATCCAATTGCTTTCGGATCCTTCCGTGGGCGCCCTGAGCCTGAACGGCTTTACTCATATTGGACTTCAAAATCTAGAGCAGGATGATACAAAGCGATGGACCTGTGCCGAATTCAGCACACCAAAACCTCCCCGGCCCCAGTGCAGACTGAAGTGCCCTGTAGAGCTCTGCAGAAGCGCCCGGCCACTGCCGACCACGGACAGGTCGCCTTGCGGGCATAGAAACGCGCCGCAAATCCCCAAAAAGAGCATCAAGAAACACGACTTTCAATGATTCAAGTTGCTTCCAAGTTGCGCCAGTAAACGTGGCTCCGCATGCCGTCGAATTCACCCGCTGTCTGGAGTCATGGCTTGGCACTTTGGCCAAGAGGTCGCTCAAGGGCGGCTTCCGTGTCCGAGAGAAGGCTGGCTGTAGGACTTGGCTATACAGGCACAAACTCACAACTTGTTTTGGCTCTGCCTGGCTACCGGAGCTTTGTCATATGAAAGTTGTCTGTGCCGGCTTGTGTGAAACCTCATCCTCTGCGAGCCGGACGTCTGACCATAGGCGCCAGACGGGGCGATAGTGCAAGCTTTGCAACGCTCAGGCGCTGAGACGAGCCACAGCCGACTGCAACGTCCATCACATGTCCATGAGAGGACTCTTGGACTGGGCTTCAGCTGAGGGCAATGCTCGCTTCAGCGCAGACTCGTTTGAAAACTCCTGCAGCCAGAAACTCCTTTCGCAGCCTCTTCTTGGAATGGAGGTCTTTCAAAGAGGCTCAGACTTACAGTGGCTGCAGTAATCCACCACTTTAGTCTCCGTGCTCCAAAAGCTCCTGTAGCTGCTTCAGCTGGTCGACATCAAGAGCCTGAGTCAACGAAAGCGCCAGGCACTGACTGAGAGCACCCCACAGGAGACACCCTTCCAGGATTTCACCTTCCGCCCGCCGAGGCTCCGAACTCCAAGGCTCTCGTCCTTCGCACCGAACCTGAGCACAACGGAAAAAGCGTGTGGCTTTGTCTTCCCGGATCAAGGCAATGGGCGGCAGGGACATCGACTCCGCGAGCCAAACTTACACTTACACTCGTCGCCGTCGCACTTCCAATGGAGCTCTTCTTGCCTTTCGTGGTCCGCTAGAATCTAGAACAGATTCGAATGTGGATCCGAACATCTACGTCTCGGCAATGCTAAGCCGGATTGAGTCGACTGAGTCGCGACCTCTTGCACCACCATCACTCTCTCAACTTGTCAACAGCTGCGACGAACAACACCCCCTGGCTGAGCACGACGACCACTTGTGCTGCAGGCACTGGAGCATCGTTGGTCTGGCCATCACGAAAACAGTGAGAACTCTCAGCACTAGCTAGCTTCAGAGCAACCTGTCAGTACAGTTCCGCCGCTTTCCTCGTAACAAGTCCTGGCATCTGGCTGCTAGCTGCATCGCTTCCGTTTTCTGGGCACCTTAAACCTTCAAGTGCCTCCTTGCCTTCCTCACTTCACAAGAGTCCCAAGGTTCAGCAAGGGTTTCCCGCGGTCCAACTACATGCCCCGAATAAGCTGAATGGCACCGGTGGTTTCAGAAATTCCTGGCGTTGAGGGCCTGTGTGTGTCCGAGTAGGTCAGCATCTCTTGACCTCGATGGCCCACTGGAAGACGAGTGAGTCAAAAGCTACCGAGCTGAAAGCTAGGATTATCTGCTCCCAATGAGAAGCCTACTTCTGGCGAGGGTGTGTGTTTTTTGGGCTGCGCTAGGTCATGCCATGTAGCTCATGCCTAGCTCTGACCCCTCCGGCAGTGGCTGCTGAGGTGGTGGCAAAGCCTGCGGCTGAGGCTTGACGTTTTCACCTGCTGCATCAAAGCCAAGCGCCTACATGCGGGCCAACACACACAAACTATCAGATTCTTAGCTGTTTGTAATTAAACCATGCAGCGGGCGGCTTGATGCTTTATCCCACCAGCTCCTCCCTTCAACGGTTCGCACGCAGATTCCCGCGAATAACAACAAGGATCTTTCAAGTGTTGTGAGTGACGTGACCCGCCTTTCGCCAATCCGGACCATACCGGTGTAAGGCTTGCCAATCTTTCGGATTCATGCTCCTGAGGACAGCGAGAAGGGAGGGAATTGCCATGCAAGCAACTGAAGCCCCGAAGACGTACTACAGTGATGCTCAAACCGCTTGAAATCGTTGCCCAGGGTATGTCCTCACAGCAAACGGGAGGCTTCCCGCAAGCATCTCGTACAGAATGCAACCTGTACGCAGTCTGCCCCTTTTCTCGGATCTTTGTTGAACCGCTTTGGCTCTAGGCAGCACTCCCGGTCTCCACGTCGACATCAAATGAACACTTAGGTGATGATGCAAGTGGCGTTCTTTTTTCCGGCGATGGCCTGCAGACCAAACGTCGCACTTGGGGCCGAAGTTGTTTTCCCAGACCTGAGCCCGGGATGGATTTTACTCCGAACACGGATTCGACCTGCCACAGAGGTCATCGAGTAGCAACGATCATGGCTAGGACATTCCTGTCGACGCAAAAATTTCCAGAACGTGGCCGTGCCACCGGTGCAAGCTTTCGAAAGTTCCTTGAGTCGTACTTGTATCACTACCCCTTTTACCTCATCCTACTCAGTGGCCTCGAGACCTGGTGCAGCCAAGAACTCATCTGCACGACACGAAGAACCTCCAAGCGGTTACCGGGTGTCACAGGGCCGTGGCCTCTGGAGCCATGGTCATGGGCGTGCCCCCCATCAGCCTTAGACATGGAGGTGTTTTGGTGGAGCCCAACAGGCAACCAAGCACACAGCAACGGAATCTCTAGCTTTTGAGCCCCTCGTCGCGGTGATGGGCGTTGTGCGCAGCTCGACCCCGACCGCTCACCTGTTCTAGAACCCGATCAACCTCCAAGGACTCCAAGCTGTTCTCCACCAAGGACGGCTCTCAGTCGCGGTGTCCAGCTTCCACTCTCACGCGTTCACCTTGTCGTCGTGCAGTTTTCCTGACGAGCCTGTCTTGTCTTGGAGCGCCAGGCGGCAAAGCTCACATCGTAACACACTTGTTGGCGGGCCGAGGATGCGGACGATGCTCTTGATGCTCTTGTCGGCTATGTTCAGGGGAGGCTAGGAGGCACCACTTGCTGTGGAAAAGAGGGTCGACTGTCATCCTGCCCAAGGATTCTGCGTTCGCTTCAGTGACCACGTCGCCGCCGATCCGAAAGTCAGAGATTTCAAGGAAAGCCTCCTTCAAATCACTGAAGTACTTTGTCACATGAGAATTCTTCTTGAAGTCCTTGAGGCCACACCGGTCCTCTGATCGATCCCACTCGTCAATCCATAAGCGCTCAATTTTGATATTCTGGATCTGGGACTGAACCGCAATACGGATAGGACACATGCACTTCCCCTCCACGCGGATATCCCTCAGCACCAGGCTTTCAATACAGAACTCGTGTGCAGCCGCCTTGTCGCTGTCCGTGATCAGGTCGGCTGCGCAAACGATGGCACAGTTGTCGGCCTGCCTGTAGCGAGAAAGGTCATGGATCACGTCCACCTCCTGATCGCAAACTTTGCAGGACAGACAACAAGCTAAAGTAACACTCTCGTTGACAAGCAAAACGTCACGACCGACCGTCGTCGCATCTGACAGAAACGGATGGCCAGCCATAAGCAATGCTGCGCGTGCATGTGTTCGGAGCATTAAACGCACCGCTCCTCACACGTGATCTGGGTAAGGTTGCGAGGCTTCCAACCGAACTGGATAAAGCCACCGTTTCCTTGAAACCAGGCCGTAATCCTCCGCACCGTCACCTGACGGTTGTGGCTTCGAAGCCCAGTGACAGGTTCGAAAGTTGTAGTGATAGAACCGTTCAGAGCCGCCCCAAACTGAGCACCATGAGAGCAAAGCGGCATGGCTCCAGTAGAGCTTGATGCAATCATCCCCAGTCTGGAAGAAGGAGTTCTGGACCATGGACCAGCTGGGAACCTCGAGACTCGAGCCCGTGGCCAGAATCTAAGACCCTATTTTTGTTGCCTCCCGCCTGGCTAGGACGAACCTACGATGCAGGGTACACTCATGGCACTACAATCACAGCTATACAAGGTCTAGGTCACAACTTTACAGTGTGTCTGCACGGCAATCACATTCGGGTGTCTAAGACCCTATGGGTGCCGAGATTTACCGAGGTTGTGTTGTCGCCAAGCTCAGGGCTTAGGGTTGGGGTCAGAGGTGTTCCGCGCCTCGGGGCCATCGGTTTGGTAGTACCAAACTCCTACCATGTGGTAGTTCTCCACGCTGGTGGCGAATTTGGAGCATGCCTGCGAATCGAAGACGCCTACTCACCTCCGCTTGTTACCCGCTGCATACCTGTCAAAGCGCCATGCAACAGACAAGAGCTCCGAAAGGAGACTCGAAGGCCAACCTGGTCCAGGCTTCCGTAGACGGTAAAGGAATGGAAGGGTGGATTCGTGAGCGTGATGCCGTGAACCTCCAGCTCCTGTCGACGCTGGCGAAACTTGTCAGGGTAAGTTCCCAAAATCCAATGTAACGATTTGCAATGCATGTGACACAGTCGAGAAGGCTCCTGGTTCATGTCCCCAGGCGAATAGAACTCCTGTCAAAGGGGCAGCTGTTGATGACCAGATTTTGGCCAGCTGGCTCAAACAAACTGAAGCTGATTATGACAAACCACTTCGTCTTCTTCCTTTAGCTTCAGGACATGATGACTCGATGACTAGCATGCAAGCACTCTCGCTCTCTTGCTCTCCTTGTGCTGGGGCGGGTATCGTGTCCGGGAGCATTAAGGAAGCCCCCAGGCAAACAGCCCCCTCCCTCATTTGCGTATACAAGTATATGTGTACAAACTCTAGGTTCTACAGTGTCGGTCACTGCAATTTGCACAAGAAAAAGCTTCAAGAGCAAGGTCCATCATCTTCAGGCAGCGCCCTTCGTAGCCTCCTCCAGGAGCTCAGAAAGCTTCCTTTTTGGTGGTTCAGCTTCTTAGAGGCTGTGCCCGTGCCCGCAACGAGCTCCTGCTTCATGCGCTGGCCGAGTCGCGTAGCCGTTTTCCTGGGCAGAAAGGCCCTGTCCAGTCCTGGAGCCCTCGTGGGGCGATTTCTACCTGCCTTGTCGCACTCATAGACATACTTCTCGCCGGAAATAGTGCCGGCTCCTGCCAACAAGAAAATGCAACATGACTACAAGTAGCTGCTGAAGCTGCGCGTTTTCGGTCCTGTGATTCGCAGCTTCTCAGGCGTTTTCCCACTTTCGCCACGGAACCTTTGCTTGGGCAGGCTGCATTTTTCTGCGACAACAGGTGAAGCCTACCCTGTTTCATGCAGTGCAGAAAACACGAAGCCAGCGACTGTATCGCACCTTTGATGTATGACCCCGGTGCCAGATAGATCCACTCGATCTCACTGTTGAGGTACGCATGATAGTTCCATGCCTTACATGAAAGCCGAACCGAACAGGACGGATGCAAGGAAACTTCATGCTCCTCTCTACCCGCTGCCCCTAGATTTGTCGGCCTATGCTTGGGCCAGAATAGGATCTGGTGGACTAAGCGAAACTGAAACTTTCAACCTCGTTGCCATGGCATAGACGCCGGCCGGAAAGTAGATGACGGGCTTGTGGACGGCATCTAAGTTCAACGGGAAGTCCTGATGATCGGGTACAGCTCTGTGAGACAGCCAAGGCAAATCTCAAGGAGTCAGATGTCCTTCTCAGCATCGATGTAGTGGACTTTCGATTCAAGCTCCTCTGCGGAGAAAACATCCTCTGGCCTGCGGGTGCGCTAGAGCTGAGATGGCAAAGCAAACTCTGCCGCAGATGACACTTGGATTTCATTGGATTCGATTTGTGCATGCGTGTATGTGCCAACACACATGACATGGTTGAAACCCGACAGGAAGGACTTCTGGGCCAATGCCCCCTTCACCTTAACCGCTGGCCAGCGATGTCGCAACCTGTCCAGATGCACATTGGTTCTGGTTCTCGGCACCTGATCTGCTTCTCAATGGGCTCCGCAAACAGGATAAGAGCATTGTGAGGTATCTCCGCGATGTCGCGACCTTCGTGCTGGAATGTAAAGATCCTGGGATCGCACATCCAACGATGGGCTGCGCAGGGCAAGCTATGAATTCACGGAGTCTTGCGGTATGTCGTACATAACAAACTAGACAGATTTGGCAATAAAAGTATGTGCCCCGAAACTCCCCGTAGTCCAGCGAAGAGCGGTCCAAAAACCGTACGCTCTTGCCCATGAAGCCTCGCAAACACTGTAATGGACAAAATCTGCCCTGAGAAAGCTTAAGAGTCTCCCAGCTGAACTCCAGGGAAAAACGCAAGCCCTCTGCGCTGTAAGGTATCTTGATCTTCACGGCATTCTTTCCCGATTTCTCTGGCCGCCAGTATCCGCCCTCAGTTTGTTCCGAAATCTTGCGAGGACGAACGAGGATCTCTTCTGCAATATTGGGGCGGTCTGCATCACCCAAGAGAGTGACCTCTACCCAGACATCAGTCGAATAGAGGAAGTGTGCCCATGTGCAGGTGCAGTGATTCCTGTCGAAATCCTCGGCCCCGTCGTCCTTGGAGTAGCCCCACTTCTGGCGTCCCATACGAGGCCATGAGAAGTAAGGAAATGGCTTCTGCCTCCGGTCAGCCTTTTCGGGCTCCGCCGCGGTCCACACAGAAACTTCAAAGAAGGGCGAGCGCACAACTCTCCGATCTTCCTCTGGCTGAAGCTCCCTCTTCTCCGTGATGTTGTCTTCATGCCACCAGGTGATCAGTTCATCTCCATGGCTTCCGTCAACCCGAGTGGCCATTGTAGTCAAGATCTATGACATCTATGAGTTTGATCACGCCAACTGAGCCATCTATCGTGTGCCTCTCTGCGCCCAGTGAGATTCTCTCAACTTATCCTCATGTCAACCAACTATACGACGTTCTTTTGACGAGATTCAGGAGAAGAATGTAAAATTTAAAAAGGACTTCGCGAACCCGGCCTCGGGTGTCCTCAGCCTGGACCTCTGAACCACTGAATCACCCAACTCAAGCTGCAAGACGCGGCAATGGCAGGGTAGCAGTGCAGACTAACCGGGTGTCCGGACTTGCCATGCGGATCAGAAGACGAGAACATCTCAGAAACCTTGGTGCGAGATGGTGAAAGGCCAGTGAAGCGTGGTCAAAGTTGAGATGCTTCCAGCAACGGTTCGCAGAGCTGCAAAGCTACACCCTGTCACAGGGCAGTCCACGTAACAAATCAACCCCGGTGTAATGTCTAGACTCTAGAATTCACTGCAAGCATGGTCCTCCACAGCACCCAAAGGCTTCACCGGTGCCCTGAACTCAAAGGAACATTGTAACCTCTGGAAGACTCTAGGTAGTACGACGGTAGTACGTGTATATCCCAGTCCACGTGGCTCCCAAGTCGATGATGACAACGAAGGGCTCCGAGGTCTCAGACTCAGCGCACGGGTTTTCGGTGTTCGGTGCTCGATGCACTAGATCTCCAGTTCAGCCACACAGGAAGCTCAGGTACCGGGCCCCTTTGAGAAGCATCACATTCTCGTCTTTCAAATCCTAGCCGTTCAAGACTGCAGACTGCGTTCGTAGGCTTTTGGCGTCTCGCTGTTACCGAATGCCAAGATCGGTCAGCTGGTGACGGAGGGTCCTTGTGGATGATTCGCATTCCATGGCAATAGGCCATGGCCTGGACACTGCGATACAAGACCCCCCAGGTCAGCATGGTAACAAAAACACTATGAATTCTACATGTGAATGAATATCCCTGCTGCGTTGGGAGGTTTCAGAACATACGGGACAGCAAACCAGCGCAAAGACTAGGATTTGATCATGTTTGATCCTAAACAAGGCTGACCATTTACGATAGAATCCATAAGAATAGGACCTCTCTTGTAGTTGCAACATTTATGCGGAGCGATGTGGTCCCTGATACAGGCCCGCTGTAGGGCACATAAGGGCGACCTTTTCACAGACCATGATTCTATCAGGACCCGTTGAAAGAAAATCATGTCTACGACGAGTCTTCTTTCGAAACAAGTAGCCCGAAGTAATAAGACAGTATGATGCTTGTCTTCTGGATATACTAGTCTTATTGGTGCTTCAAAACAACTTACACTCATGTGTTGTTATGACTTAGAACATCTTCTATGTGTACACATATGTGCATACATAGTATATATATATATATACACAGACAGGTAATGAATATATATTGAACTCAATGTGTGTGCATGTATATGTATATATATATATATATATATACATATCTAATTATGGATGTCTGTATGTCCTTCGTCTTTCTCTAAAGGCTGCCTGCAGGGTCTGCTTCATCACGGACCGGCTCCAGGTCTCCTCCACGGCGGCCCTGGGAACTGGGAACTGAGATCCTTCAGACTTCTTTCTCATACATATACAGTATATATAATACCTGATTTAAAATATAGTATAAGATAATACAATACAAGAAATATATAAATATAAATATATATATATATATATATATATGTGCGCATATATATATATATATATATATATGTATTGATTGATTGCTTAGGCTCTGTTTTCATGACTCTCGAAGTCCAAGTGGAGACCAGGTCAAGGGGCTTCGGGTTTAGGTGGGCTCTTTTGGATGTTTAGTGTTGGAGGGTTTGGGTGTTTTGCGATTTATGGCTTCAGCGCTCACGCTCGGACCGTCCAGTTACTAACTTGTGTCCACACAGTTTGTGGAGGTTTACAAAGCTTTGCAGTCATTTCCGATCACACGACACAGAAGGTGGCTGCTTGGGCTGTCCGCTCGTCACGTCTGGAGATGCCCTTCAAACTGTGCCCCTGACCCTTCCGCTTGGAAGCGCAGCAAGACTTCGCGCAGGGTGCCGCCCTGCATCAGGCAATCTGCTCAAAAGGCCCAGTGTAGGACGCATCTTGACACGCTGAAGCCGCTGCGACACGATCGGGATGGATGGCACGACCCGTCTGTTCGAGAAAGTGCTCAAGGCAGGGGCAAGTCGTAAGTGGCCTTAATCGCATCCATCACCAGATAGATCTTCGATGACCTAGGCTCAGGCTCTCAAGCACGACAGGTGACCTAGTCGAGCACCCCATGGCAACCGAGGCGCAGGGCAAACATCATATCGCACACAGAAAATGCCAGGTTCCCTGCCCTTCATACCACTCGTGCAGCCGAATGATGTGTGGATGATCCACCCTGAAAGCTGCAAACATGCATTATGCTCTGTGCTCCCCTTTGACGGACAGCAAAGTTCTCTTTCCGGAGGGTCGGGTCGAACAGCGAACAGGACTCTGCTTGAGCCTGCGAAGCGAATTCGTCAGTCCACATCGGGTCATTGCTTGGCCTTGCGCTCTTGACCCTCAGCCGCTTGCTCTGTCGCGTGAAACATGGGCAGGACGGAGGTGTACAAAGTTTGCAGATCGCATGTTACCTACATTTGTGAATCAGGGTTTTTCGCCCCACGCGCAGAGCCTTGGCAACTTGCAGTACATGTGGCAGCACTGCAGAGAGGATACTCTTGAGTTTGTTGCACAAGAGGCCTGAACCAGTCGAACATTGAATGCACGTACTACCCCTTTGTCACTTTGCTTCTCCCTGCAGGTTGCCACTCCAGAAAGCCAGATCGAGTCATCCCTTGCCTCAGCCCCTCAGCCAGACCTAAGTCGATCACAAACCGCAGAAGGCAACAGCTTGAAGTACGCGTAGGCCAAGCTACGAGTCGTTCCAGCAAACTGAGTAAGGGGCTTGAAACACAGAATTGCAACCTGCCCAGGGGCGACGATGTTTGGTTGCTATGCTATGACATGGACCAGAGCCAGTACTAGCCGGATGAGGCATCAGGAACTCGGCTTGGCTCCCAGGCTGCACCCTTCCAACGACCAGATACCACCGGGGGCGGGCCCACACTCGCAGCCGAGAGTTCAAACAAACACAGCAGTACGCTCTTGCAACTAGGACAAGCCAGAAGTAACTGTGACCGGTTGTGCTTCCTACTCACTCCCCGTCCTGGCCCAGGTAGAAGTAGATGAAATGCTTCGTCTCGTGGGTCACATAGGAACCGAAGTTTCGGCCCACCACGCAATGCCAGGTGGGATTATACTTCCTTATTTGCAGCATGCGTCTTGCAAACGTACACTACCATCAGTAGCAGCCTCGCAGAAGTCAGGACCTTTCCACACGGTTGAAACCATCGCACTCTTTAAACCAGACCGTGGGAAGTGTACAGTGTACCGCATCAATTCCGGGACAAGTCTCTTGTCAAACTCCTTCTTGATGAACGCGGCAATGTCCTTCTCGATGTTGTACCTGCAAGTTCAGCTGCGGGCACTACTTAGACACCGCGGGCAGATATGAACAACCAAACAACCAGCCAGTCCAGCTGCCGGGATTTCAATGCTTTCGGCCACCTGCACTATTTTCTTGCATGCCAGGTGACTTCTCCAATGCCTGCGTTGCACAATCAATGGCATCCTGCTGCATGTCCTGCACCGATGCCAGGGGTGATGTGGCGCCGTAATCATTCAGATCACCTAGATCACCTGTCTTGCTACTGTCTCCTGATCTCCAAACCCCGTTTTTGGCAAGGCCACAGGCCCCTTGCTTGCCTTGTACCACTCAGCATTACTGGAGACCTGTCCTCTGCCATGTCCGCATTCTTGATCACAGCCTGACGTGCCGAATGCCCAGGATGAACAGGAGCAGCGACCGCACTCTTCGGTACAACAAACAAGACACCTCGGCCTGTCGGCTGCGCCAGAGTTGAGCAAACACTAAATCTTTCTACTCGTTTGGACGAGGTTGACAGGCTCTCTCCGGAAGCTCGACACGTTCAACGCACGGCACGCCTGTTTCCAAGATTCTCCCGTCATGTTCAATCACTCGTCCCGCACAGTCCACACTGCATATCTGAAGTGTTCGAGGAGTTCGACGAGACACATGCGCAATTCAAGTCCACACACTTGTGTTACAAGGTGCTGCGCGTTCACTCCCGGCCCCGAATTTCTGAAGCTGTCTGCCCACTGGCATCCTAGCCCCTCTACCGAAAGACTACTGCCAAAGCTCAGGCATGCTCAAAGCATGAGCCGCGGAATACAGGGGCCTGAAGAATTAGAACAGGATCTTGTGGCATATCATGCTTTAACCACAGTAAGGGTTCCAAGAGAACTTAGTTACTTATGCTACAGTAGTTCCCAGGCTTCTGGACGAGCTCGGGGATCCCTTCAAAGATGATCTTGGGCCGGGCCTTCCGGTCTGCCATGACGCTGCGGCGGAGGCGTAGGCTTTGCTTCACAGAGAGCTGCCAAAAAAGCTGCGGCGGTAGCACAGAAAGTCCAAGAACCCAGGAACAGACAAATTGCGCACTCAGGTGGCAGATACGAGTATCTCGGCGGCGGTTTCAGCTCACCCCTTGAGCTGGGATTCGGGCTGTCGAAGGACCATGATTTCCTTCTCGATGTCTTCTACCGGAAGCTTTGCCTCTCGACGTAAGGATCGCGAAAGAAACGTCGGAATGAGATTGGTGTCTGCCATCAATGACCGCTACTACAAACTCACATGATTCGTCTTCTTATCGGCATTCCCCCCCCCCCCCCCACAGCTCGTTCGCAGCCTGCGATTTCTCGACGACCTTGATGACGCGCTCCTGAGCAGCGTGCGTCGGCTACAAGTCCACCGGGAAGGTCACATCTACATCCCGAAGCCCGCGCTCGCCTCCTTGGTCCTCTTATGCTTTCCCAGATGAGCAGAGCCTCAGAACGCTGCATGCCCCTTCAGGGCTTCGCAGGCCTGAACTTAAGACATGAGAGCCTTCGTCAGCAGTAGCTCGAACAGCACAGCCCGCCCAGCTCAGGTCCGTGCCAAACGAGCCCTCTCCCAGTGTTTTAACCTCAGAAACCAAAGGGCCGAGGCGGCCGAGGGTAGAGAGCTTAACGGATTTTGCCCTCCACTGTAGTTCGTGTCTTAGCGGGGACTGCAAACACTACGTGCAGACACATGACCTTGCAAAGCAGCGGTCCCCAGGAACTCGGCTCCCTGTGTGAGACGGTCAAAAGCTGTCACTCCCAAGTTCCACTGCGCTGTAAGCCCACGGCTCGATGGTAGACATCCCAGACCTGCATAAGTCGAACCATCCGCTTCGTCCCTTCTTCATATCAATACCGGAAAGCCTTCCAGTGCACAGTTGACACCGGCGGTGCTCGTACTCGCGACGGTACAGGTGCTTGACTGCGAAGCGCTTGCGCGACTTACGCATGTGGACATACTTCATGCGATGCTGTCCATGCCCTTGCGCCAATGCTGTGCCAAGATTGCCCACATCTTAGCACACAGTTGGTGAGGTGAGAAATGGGGACTGGTATGAGGAACGTTGACGTGCGCGAAAATGAAGGTCTTCGCAGGTCCACTCTGTTGGGTTGAAGCCACGCGAGAATCTTTCAGCAACAACCGAGCATCATGAGCGCTGTAATGCTGGTAATGAACCCTCGTAATGATGAGGGAATCGCAAAACAAAGATGCTTGAGAAATTCGGTGGCTGTCACAGCTTCTTAGGAACGTGTTTCGAAAAGGTCCTAGCAGCATCAGTGTGTGGAGGCATGAAGCATGGAGGCTTCTGTAGTCTTCTTCATGCTTTGCTGCAACCAACACGTGACACCTTCCCGGGCTCTTGGGTCACGAAAATCTCGCGACCGAGGAGCACCGACCTGGCGAAGACCCGGCTGCTCAGTCTCATCTGAGGGTTTCATGCGGTAGGACGAGACTCTTGAGACGGGCAGCAGCATTGGCGGTAGGTCACAGCTTTTTGTCAGGTGGTCTCCAGAAACCATCTAGAATCCACAGTAGTGGCTGCATCTGCGTGAGGTGGTTCGTGCTCAAAGCCCGGTCAACACATTGCAGGTGGTGCGGCCAATCGCTTGCCTGGGTAAGGTGGCTCCAAACTAGGCGGCCACACCGGTCGAAAGCGACGCGCCGAAGTGTTTTCACCTGAGCTTTTGTCTGTCACCCTTGCCTTGCTGACGCCCGCGATGCCTAGCTGCAGACAAGGGGCCCTCTGTGTTATGTGCGCGCCAAGAAGTTCTACGGCCCGTCTTCGTGTTTTCCGCAGTCTTCAATCCCAACTTGGAACTTCCGCGTCTCTGCAGTCCCGAGATCCCCACGAAGAGCTCAAAGAACTCCTCAAAGCTCAGGTCGCCATCGCCGTTGAAGTCGTAGCCTCTCCGAGGTTCAATTCAGCGCGCTTGCTTCCCACACTCCTACCCAGACTATTCCTAGAACAGGTATGCTGTGAGCAGGACTAAGGGTCGGAATCTCAGCAGAGTTAAATGCAGCTTGCAAGAGCCATGGTAAGAACGAGGACCATCATCCACGTGATGCAAGACTGTATGTACGTTAGCCCAGTGGCTATCATTACGATTTCGCCCCACGGCACACCAGCAGCTGTTGCAACGTGCCGCAACTCAACGTTGCTGATGACATCCATGCTTCTGCTCTGCTTGCGGCGGGCGCTTTAAAGTGTGAATTGCTGATTCTGGACCCTGCTGACTACATATCAAGGACACGGCTCTCTGCTTCCAGTGCAACTTGAAATGTGGCTCCTGGGGATGCCTTCCGACAGCTTTACAGAGGGTCTGACCCGGATACTCAGGACCCAGACCCTGCATCCATGCTTCCGAGAGGCGTTTGAAGAGCTGCTCGGCCTTTCGAACGGAAATGTGCGCAGCCCATCTGAGACCCCTGGCTCCGATGTAACCTCTTATCTGAAGCACAGGCAAGCTGACGAGTCTGAGCGCTGTGCTAATGGTGCAGCCGGCATAGGTAGGCCCAAATGCTGGTTCAATTCCTTGCGAGCACGACTTGAAGCACTTCAGGCTTCTTCTATGCACTTTCGATGGCTTGGTGGCTGGTGGGAACATGTGGTAATCGCCAAAATTCTGTCAAGTTACGAATAAGCCTTAAAGGACGAGGTTCCTCGACAAGATCGTGCTTCCAATTGTTCATGAGACGGTTTGCCCGGTGAAGACGCATAGGATGGCTTGACAATGTGTTTGCTCGATGTGTTGGTGAATAAAGCCACATCAGACCACACGGACAAGCAGCTTCGGAGTTGTACTTATCCACCTGTCGCCACCCAAAAGTTGCACCCGGGTCGACCTCCAAAGCTAGTCCAGACCCGTGCCACAATGCAGCGATGGAGAGAAAAATTAAGTAAAGACATGCATGGAGGGAGGGCGGGCTGCTGCATCAAGCAAACTCAGGGCAAAGGACCCGCAGCACGTGCCGCAGCTCTCGGAAGCCAAGGCGTCCGGTTCCGCGACGACCGCGGAGCTCCGCGTCGTAATACCTCCGAGCCACGAACCACATTGTAAATTTTATAACAGTTTTCTTTCAAGCATTACTTTATATCTTATTTCAAGATCAGGAGTTGGGGATAAGAAGGAGCCTCCCCCTCTGTGCCGAGGCTTTGAGGCCCTGGCTTTCTGGCGATGTCACGGATCTGCGGATTTGACAAGACCTGCGAAGCCGGGGCTCTGAGATTCCACCACTATTCCTATTCTTAGTGTTATCAATCCATATCATTATTGATATCACTACTCTTCTGATTATTGTTGCGATTAGTACTATTACCAGTAGCATTGTTTCTGTTACTATTATATGGTATTCTGCTTCATTGTCACCTACCGACTCCCTGTTCGGCACCTCGAGCAGCTCGCGGCGCATTTCGCGCGTAGCCACGATCTGCAGAGCGGAGAAGGATATTTCATCTTCAGACTTCAGGAGAGATGCAGAAAGCCACGCCCCGGGAGGCATGTTCATTAAAAGCCTGGTGAGTTTCATGTCCCTACTATGTATCTACCTACATATATATATATATACGCTGTGGCATGGGCTCATCCGTGTACTGCTGTTGAAGTAGGGGTCCAGCGACATAGGTAAGTCCAGCTCTATACGTGCATGGTTTGAGAAATTGATCCGGTACATGCATTCCTTCGTTCGGGGATATCATCTCCCTGTGGAAGTAGACTTCAAGAAGGAGCTGGACAAGTTGAGGCTGTAAATTGAGATTTGACGTGTGCACCCATGTAGACGGACAGTGCAACATAAGATCAAACATAGCGTAATTTACAGTAGATTTGGCCGCTGCAAGCTTGCATGGAAGCCTGAAACACCGGGTTGTTGCTATCAGCACGTGACCTTGTTTTTGATAGGGTCTTAGCATGGATCGCAGGGTGGTTCCTGCACTCGATTTATCGCACAGTGCTCGCCTCGACGTCTTCCTTGGCCTTGCTTTGGCCGTCTTCCCTCGAAGCGGCCTTCGCCTAAGGGCGCAAATCACATCATGGCACCTGAAAGCATCGGAAGCGGGTGATCCTTAGCAAACGAAACTCCCGGAGCTCTGAGTTCAACTGCCCTCTCGAGCTCTGGTGATGCCCAGGCTAAGGATGCATTTGCCGTTTCCTCTCCCAACTCTTTTGGATATTCGCAGCAATTTTGACGCAACTTTGAGCCGTACAGGGGACCGAATTCATGAGGAGCTCAGTCTGCGGCTCCCTCGCCTTTATCCTCAGGCTTGACCGCAGCTTGCGACCTTGCCGCGCAGGAAACTCTGCTTGAAGGACTGTCTGTCCTGACGGTGGGGAAACCTGGCTACAAACTGGCGGTCGGTATGAATAAGTTGCAACTTGCATCGTGCACTGCCTCGTGGTCATCTAGAGACTTCTTGCTTCCAAGCCACTTCGGCGGATCCGATTTTTTCGCATCTGGTTTCTTTTGTGGCCTGCGGCGCGGCTGTCAAGGCTGTCAGGTCATGGTGAGTTGGACCGCATTAGCCCAAAGTCCCTCTACAGGTGAAGACGTGACTCAAAACCTAGTCTGCATGGGATGATTATGGAAGCATGAAAACACAAAAGAGCGTTTCCCAAGCAATAAAGATCTCCAAAATCCCCACCTCTGCTCTCTCCTTGGCGCTTTTTCCGCCTTGTCCTTCCGATCGCCCTCCTTCCCCACCTGGACAGGCCACGCTCGAACATCAAGAATTCTTCGTGCTCCTGGGGCCACGTAGCACTTCTCACGAACCTCATGTTAGAAGAGAAATTCTCTCTCTCTCTCTCTCTCTCTCTTCTTCCACTGGGCTTGAAGGGCTGGTTAGGCCCCTCGGCTGCATGGGCCCCCCATATGTCATGGGGCTTTGTGGAGGGACGTGACAAGACAGCGAGTCCCCCTGACAGGCAAGTGAAGTATATTGGACTCTAGAAGGTCAGGGTTCCTCAACTGTTTTGTTGGACACATGCATGAATTGCAGTATTGGTCCCCCTTGTTCTATCGCATGACAAACATGAGAAACATGACAGAGCCATGATGTGAACTAGCAAAAGAAAACGGTGTACAAGGGAGACTGTGACCGCTCCACGGTCGCAAGGTGCTTCTACATCGCTGGTGTCTCGTGTTCCCCCTATTTCGCACAACATGGCATGCTATTATATCTACAAACCAACTGCGACACCGTTGTTTGCCGACATGGCTGGAAGGTGATGGTTGCTTGCTTGGCTCTTTCCGGACAACAAAATTGAAAACTCTCTCTCTCTCTCTCTCTCTCTTTCTTTCGCCAGGGCTGTGGTGTAGGGGCTTTACCCCCTACACCGCGCGCGTTCGCGCCCCCGACTGTTGCGGGACGCCTGTGTTGCAAGAGGTGCCATCGGCACTAAAAGTGGAAGTTACGCAGCTTCCCTCGGCAACTGGATTCAAAGGGACGAGACAACCAGATCTCTCTCTCTCTCTCTCTCTCTCTCTCTCTCTCTCTCTCGCTATGTATGTATACATATACGTATACACATATGTATGTGTATATGTATGTATGCATGTATACATATATATATATATACACATGTATATATACTTTTTCATGACATGTACATATACATGAGGATGTGTAAGTACACATACACAAACAAATCAGCACATACATCTATCTGCTTATCTATGTGCATATATGCAACATATTCACATGTATACATACACACATACATACAGAGCGCCGCCAAGAGGCGGCTGGCTGAGATGAGCTGCCCAGGAGTCGTGGCAGATGCTGGCCCCTCGGGGGTGAATCAAAGTACATCTCACGAGT